TCATTTAAAATAAAAGTACTATTTATTTGTTTTTGGTTTTGTATTCAAATTTGGAGACTTCTCTGTCGTTATGAATTTTTTGTATGTGGTAAAGAAGTTTAGGCAGACCTTTTAACACGTGAGCCATGCATTCAGCCCTAGGATTTTTTTTTGTATGTTAACATTAACATATTTAAATTTTTTAAAAGAAGTCTTATTTCTCTAACCACACTCTGTCCTTTCCACACAGTTCTCAGCCTTGGTCTTTAGTATCTAATCATATTAGTTTTCCATCTTATTTTCTCCTTTTGCTCAAGTGAGTATATAAATGTTCGTTTTCTTATTCCTCTCTTTCTTACCAAAAAAGTATATTACAAATACATTCTTGCACTTGACTAATCAAGTATTTTAAAATTTAATCAGAATGTTAAAGTTGAGTAAGACCTTATTGTCATATTTCTAAGACTATTCTTTCTTCGTTTTCTTTTTCTTTTAGACATTGGATCAGCAACAGCTCTTCACAGAAGAAGAACTGAAAGAATATGAAAATATTATTGCTTTGCAAGAAAATGAACTTAAGAAGAAGGCAGATGATCTTCAGAAACAAAGAGAAGAGCTACAACGTCAGCACGACCAGCTTGAGGCTCAGAAGCAGGAATATCACCAGGTGGCATACTGTAAAAGGATTGTGGCATTAAAACGAATGTTAGGGGCTTGCTGAGATGGTGGGTATTTTTACTGCCAGATACTAGGAAGGCTGAGGTAAGAGGATTGCTTTGTGACCAGGAGCATGAGACCAATTTGCACAATGGAGCAAGACCAGGTTGAAGTAGGAGAAGGAGTGGGGAGAGGAAGAAGAGGGGTAGGAAAGAAGAAAAAGAAGAGGGAGAAGAAAGAGGAGGAGGAGGAAGTAAGAAGAAGAGGAAGAGGAAGAGGAAGAAAAAGAAAGAAGGCAGGCAAGCACTTATGGCTCATGTCTGTAGTCATAGCTACTCAGAAGGCTGAGATCTGAGGATCAGTCTGAAGCCAGCCCAGGCAGAAAAGTCTGTTAGACTCTTATCTCCAATTAGTCAGCAAGAAGCTGGAAGTGGTAGAATGTAAGTCTTGAGTGAAAAAACTAAGAGTGTTTAGGCCCCGAATTCTAGTCTTAGTACTGGTGTGTATACATGCATACACACCCTCCCCTCTCCCACCTGGCCATGCACACACAGAAGAAGAGAAGAAAAAAGAAAGTTACAAGAACAAAAAAAAAAGTTAGGAGCTGGGAATGTAGCTCTGTAGCAGCACATTCTTTACCTCAGAGAGGCCCTGTGTTTGACCTCTTTAACACATTAGAAAAACAAGAGCAAAAATCAGATGTTCAGTGCTCTGTTGAAACCTGTGTTTTATAGTATAATATTTGAATGTGTTTAGTAGCTATCTTATTTTAAAGTTTATTACTTTAAAAATGTTGTTTTGTTACAGTATTTGCTCCCAGGCTGGGTCCTTTTTCCCTCTCAGAGTTGTAGAACCAATAACTAGACCTAGCACCAACTTGGCCCATTTTAGAAATGGGAGATAGACACTCATGTGAACTTCTCAACCCTTGGGTGTTTGGAGCACTGTAGAAACAAGAGTAAAAGAAATGAAGAGGCGGGATAGGCTAATAAGGATGGTGAATATTCATGTATTTCTGAGAATGGGCAGAGATTTTCCAGGAATTTAGGTACCAGCTCTTTCCTAGTAAGGCTCTTTCTAGTTCTTGCCTTGGCAGCTGTCACCTACCTTGGCGCTGGAGGGTGTGTCATGTAGCATGCAGATGAGAGTAAAGTGAAGTTATAATGATCTAGCAGATACCTTAGATCTAATCAGTTTCAGTTAGCAGCTCAACTGAAGAGGTGATTTGTGATCTACAGACATCCTGTCCTCAAAATTAAGAGAGATTAGGAAGGAGTAAAACTTCAGCTATGGCAGTACTCAGGCTATGGTTTGTAGAATATGAATCTAAATTTTAGCACTTAAATATTTGGAAAGTTATGTTCAGTTTATTGTGTTTTGTCAAAGGTGACATAGGTCATAGGATATCAAATACGATTTAAAGTTTTCCTTTCTCATTCATCAGGCAGTACAGCAGCTTGAACAAAAAAAATTCCAACAAGGAATTGCTCCATCAGGACCAAATGGAGAACTGAAGTTCGAGCCACGTATGTATTATTTGTTTAGGAAATTAAAGAGTTATATATTGATATCCATATTTATTTTAAATTTAGTGTAATTTTTGATCATTAGGATTTGTTCTTTTCTATACATTTTTAGAAATAAAGAAATTTTCATTATAGAAAAATGAAAAGTCTTCCAAGTTTTTTGTATCAGCATTTTTCAAATGCTATATGATTTAATAATTAGATTTATGGTGCCATAGTTTATTTCAATATCATTCATAGTTCTTTCTCATCAATTCTATTGATCTTATCAGCAAACATGGTTTTAATTGTACTGATTAGCTAATCATATTTTTCAAATAAACACTCCATATATCTGTAAATAAAAGAACATTTAGAATAAAGAATGATATGTTTAAAATGATATCATATTTCTTTTTAACAGATGTTTAAAATTTCGAAGTCCACAAGAACTTGGAAGAAAATTGTTAACATCTGTTTGGTCTTTTTACCTTTTCCCTTCTCTCTGCTCAATAAATATTTTAAAGCATATTTGGACTAAAGAGAGATACCTCTAAAATGAAAGCACAATTTTTTGGATGCATATATTTGAGAATTGGAATCTACTAGACTAAGAAGAAAACAAGCACACTCATACCTCCCTTCTTTCTTCTTTAGTCATTTAACTGGCCTTCTGCCTTCATTTAATGAGACTATCATTAACTAAGTGAGAAAGCCCTGCCTGTGGGCTTTAAATTAAATTGCTCTCACTTGTAAAGATAGATACTCTTTTATGGGTGCTTATCATCTTCTTCTTCAGTGTTTCTCTCTTTGATATTCACAGTTATTCTGAAAAGGTCGTTGTGTTCCCCAATGTTTCCTAGTAACTTTTGCCCATTTTTAGCAACCTTATCCTGTAGAAACTTCTCAGCTGAACAGTCTTCATTATTCAGACCATTTTAAACTCATATTTTCACTGGATGCTTTGTCATTTAAAATTAGGTTCCACTACATGTCACAGAAAAACCAAAGATTATAGTGGTTCCAACTAAATAGAAATGTGTCCTTCTTCCAGGAAAGAAGTCTAGAGTAGGTGGATTTTGATCTTCAAGAACTTTAGCCAGGAGGGTTCAGCCTTGCTGCTGGAGGCAGGGAAAGGGCAAAGTTAACTTTCTCAAGTTAATTTTCCCAAACTGGCATCACATGGATTTACATCCCTTTGGCCAGATCTGAGTCATGTGGCTAACAACTAGCTGCAGTGGAACTGATAAATTCACCTGACAAATAATGTAGTAGGGCCAACATAAAGTTAGAATGTGTTTACTAAAGAGGAAGGAAGGAGCATTTGGTAGGCACTTTTCAGTCTTAATCACCTTATTGGCTACCTGAGTCTCTATGTACATTCTACTTCTAAGACAGAGAAACTGCCTGAAATCCAATGTACTATTACATATTAGCTCCAAGACCTCTGTCAGGTTATGACATGATTTCTTGTGTCTGACCACTACAAAGTGAAGGGCAAATTTTCTGCCCCAAGAGCATAATATGTAGATTCAAGAAAATAGCTATAAAATAGACATTTTAGAAAAGAGAATTAGAAACATAGCAGTGGCTGATCCTTCCCAGTTAGAAAGTATTGCTTTCTAAAAATAGTTTCTCTGATACACTCTATGAAAATCTTGTTTGGTTTGCTCATCACATAACTCTTGATTCACCATTTTGAGAGGCATTCCCTTATAGAATGCACTCAGGGGCCTTTGGCCTTATCCTAAAAGAGTTTTTATTATCCATGAATTTTCAGGGTCATATTGAATCAACATTGGAGAGGATACTGTTCTTGGATAGGGAACAATCTTAGGAGTTTACTTCCTATTATTACAGATTGTCTTAGCTAGCTGCCAGCTACAAACTGCTGCATGCTAGATTCAGGTGGTTATTGTTTAGGGTTATTTTTGGTGGGGGACAACAAATGAGTTTCTAAAATCTTACTAAGTTTCTGATTTTAAAAACTTCTTTACTCATTTCCTTGTGCAATCACAGTTGAAGATGGTTTTTATATAGTTAAAAAACATCTTTTAAAGAAAGAATTTCATCTTGTACTTGCTGATGTCTTTGTCCTCTTTATTCCCTTGGGTCTTACCTACTGGACAGCCTTTTTGACTGTAAGCTTTGGTAGGACAGCAGTGGTCTAAATCTGATCTTTTCCCTTATTATGGTTCCTATTAGCAGAAAATTCTTAAGGCAGGGTTCTTGAAAATCAAAAAAGCTTCCTCAGTTGAGGAAGAGCCTTTGCTTATAGAGCCTTTACTTAGAGCCTTTACTTGCAGTGGTTTGTTTGGAGTGCATTTAGTTCTTCAGGTCTTCAGGTTTGGGTCTTTCTCAATTGCTACTGTAGACAGACAGCAGTTCCCACACAGCACAGTTGTATTCTTTCGCAACTCTGTGGATTTGTTAATCTCAGCCCAAGTCACATTTATTTTATATGACTCACTATACAAGGCAAGGAACAGCCAGCATAGGCTAGCAATCTGATGTTCTACCACTACTTTCTCTGATATTCACAGTTAGTTGGAGATATCATTGCCAAAAGCCCTCTTTCTTCATTTCTCCTCCTACCACTTTTCTTTTTCTGGTACTAGGATTTGAACCCAGAATTTCCCCCCTGCTAAGCATGCAGTCTACTACTGACTTGCATTCCCAATGTCCTTCCTTTTGTTTTTTGTTGTTGTTGTAGTTGGTCGTGGGGCCTGAACTCTGGGCCTGGGCGCTGTCCCTCAGCACTTCAGCTCAATGCTAGCACTCCACCACTGGAGCCACAGTGCCACTTCCAGGCTTTTCTACTTATGTGGTGCTAAGGAATTGACCCCAGGACCTCATGCATACAAGGCAAGCGCTCCACCACTGAGCCACCTTCCCAGCCCCTGTTCTTCCTCTTTGCTATCAAGTTTTGTGTAGGTCAAGATTCTTGATTGGAGGTAGAGGGATCTTCTTTAAGAAGGCTTTTCTGTTTCTTTAAGCAGAAAATAGATTGAATAAAGAATATTGAGAGCTCAAAGAATCTTTGCTAGATTTTGTTTTAGAATTCTTCTGAAGAAACCAATGTAGGCTGACCTTCCAGGAACTCCTTTACAAGAGTTGGCTGCCAGAAGAACTGCTTTTGCAGCAATCAACAATGAAGCTGCTGGCTGGATGAGGAAGTGCTAAACAACAGCCAGCTCCAGAAACACACCACCTCTGCTGTGCTCTGCCAGCAAAAATGACACCTCATTTTCTGCCTACATCCCTATCTAACTATGCTGAGCAAAAGTCTCAGGTGAGTATACCTGAGTGCTTGGACCAGTTGACTTGAAACCCAGCCTGTGTGAGGAGGGTGGGAATTGCAGTGTTAACAGGAATGCATGTTAAAAGCTTTAGAACCAAGCAGTCTACTTATTATAGTTTTACATTGTTTCCCTTAGCATTGATGTCTATTTCACACTGGTTACTTGTGGTTCACATCTGTTATTCTAGCTACTCAAGGCCCGGGCAGGAAAGTCTTTGAGATTTCTTATTTCCAAATACCAGCAAAAAGCCACAACTAGAGCTGTAGCTCAAGTGGTAGAGCACTGGTGAGAAAAGCCAAGTAAGAGTGTAAGGCCTTGAGTTCAAGTCCCAGTACCTGCACAAAAGACGTAGTAGTTGCTATTTTGAGAGTGGTTTGATTTTCTTTTTGGCGCCAGTAGTGGGGTTATGACCTCAGAGCCTGGGCGTTGTTCCTGAACTTTTGTGCTCAAGATTGGCACTCTATGACTTTAGCCACACCTCCACTTCTGGCTTTTTGGTGATTAATTGGAGATAAGAGTCTCATGGACTTTCCTGTCTAAACTGGCTTTGAACCGTGATCCTCAGATCTCAGCCTCCTGAGGAACAAGGATTACAGGCGTGGGCCACCAGTGCCCTGTAATAAAGATGATTTTTAAGACAGGTTAGCTAATAAAAGAGTGGGGAAGAAAGATCCTTGGGGTGAAATTTTGAGCAAATTATGGCTTAAATTTTGATCTTTGTCTTATAGCTTCCCTGAGCAATCAAGAGTAAACTCACAGAGACCCAGTTACATGATGAGCTTCATAGTGTTTATTGAAGATTTTTATCCCTGAAGAACCTAATAGAAAAGGCCTCCTTTGACCTCAACTGAATACTTTTTTCACCTCATCACTGCTTGTTGAAATTACAGACTGAGGCATATTTAAGTAAAATGCAAAGTTTGCTGTCTTTGTTCTTTGTAAGTGATATTGTAAGAAGACCATCACAACTATCTGTTTTGAGGGTGTAATGTTTGAGGGAAGTTGTATCTTCCCTTTGCTTTTATTAAAATATATATTAGCAGGATTCAAATCTTTCCCTACCCTACTTTTAAGCTTGTTTCCTAAATGAGTAGTTATCTATGGATCCGAAACCATGTCTTAGAAAATCTAAGAACTGAGCCAGAACAAACAGTAGCAGCAAGAACTGAAAACCTCAGACAGTATTGTAAAATCTGGATCTAGAATTTCCAGCACTGCCAGCTGCTTATCAAGACAGCAAAATAAAACCAGTGACATGATTTTAGGAACTGCGAGTTTTTCAATATTACCTATTGCATTATGTTGGAAAATACAACTACATTTGTTGTTTATAGCTGATTATAATTTTCATTGCAGTTTTGAAGCTTTACAGTTTTCTTTTTTCTTTTTGGTCGGTTGTGAGCTTTTTTGTGCTTAAGGCTAATGCTCTACCTCTTGAGCCACAGTACCACTTCCAGCTTTTTCTGAATAGTTTATTTGACATAAGAGTCTCATAGACTTTCCTGCCCAGGCTGGCTTTGAACTGTCATCCTCAGATCTCAGCCTCCTGAGTAGCTGGGATTACAGGCATGAGCCACTGGTACCCAGCTTCTTTCTAGTAGTTTTGAGATTATTCCTGAAGGAGGCCATTGTCAATATAAAAGCTGTCACTTTAGAAATAGACTTCTAGCCGGGTACCAGTGGCTCATATCCATAATCCCAGTTATTCAAGAGGCTGAAATCTGAGGATCAAAATTCAAAGCCAGCCTGGACAGGAAAGTCTGTGAGTTCCTTATCTCCAATGAACCAGCAAAAAGTTGGAAGTAGAGATATGGCTCAAGAGATAGATCATCAGCCTTGAGTGGAAAAAACCCAGACACTGAATTCAAGATGTAGTGCACGCACACATGCACGTGTAGACATCTGTTATTTTGAACTCTAGGACTGGTGTTTTAGTTTTTTGGGTTAGATGCCATCAGAAAAAATATTAGGCATGGTGTGTTGATATATTACAAATATTTGTGTGTATTGTTGTAATCCTGAGGGCTACACCTTATGGAATAGGCACACAAGAAGAATGGAAAATGGAATATAGAAATACATAGAGAGGTCTGGGAATGTGGGCTGGGCTTAGTGGTACAGTGCTTGCCTAGCATGCCTGAAGCCCTGGGTTCAATTCTTCAGTACCACATAAACAGAAAAAGCCAGAAGTGGTGCTGTAAATCAAGTGGTAGAGCACCAGCCTTGAGCAAAAGAAGCTCAGGGACAGCACCCACGCCTTGAGTTCAAGTCCCAGGACTGGCAAAACAAAAACATAGAGAGGTAGTTTCTGGAATGCGCTATGCACCCCAGTTGTTGGTTAGGGCATTCCTGTAGAATAGGTAAGCCTCTCTGGAATGTGTTGTCCTGGTATTTTGTCTTGGGGATGATTCAGCTGTAGCTGGGTGTGGTGCCCTACCCGGCTGATATTGGGGAGATAGCCTCATTTGTTTTGTTTTGTTCTTCTGGAAAGGGGAGCAGGAGTGCTCCCAGAATTGCTTTTGGAGATAAAAATGTAAGTTGTCTAAAGTAGTTAGGTCAGTGTCTAAGATGTCAGCTTTTTTTTTTTTTGCCCTCCCTCCACGTATGAGTTTCTCTCTGTTTTTCTGTATCCAATTTCTTCTGCTTATTCATGATTCCTCGCAAAGCTCCTTACTGCCTTTTTCTGTTGATTTGCTTCAGAAGTTTCAGGAACAGAGGAGTTTTTGGAACTCATGGGTGAAAACCAAATGTCCTTTTTATTGGGAGGAATCTGGATTTTTCTTGACTAGTGTTCCAGTGTAATATAAACCTTTTCAAACAATCCTAGATTGAGAATAAAGGATATAGTATTCTGTATCCTGTCACATTTTGGTGACACTGCTTATAATCCCAGCTACTCAGAAGGCTGAAATCTGAGGATCTTGGTTTGAAGTCCTAAATATACATTTTGATTGCTATCAGTCATATGTTTGTTATACAGTAATTCACTCTTGAGATACAAAGAAGCCAGATTTTGAGAGGTCAAATCCAGAGTCTTTATTAGAAAGCCAGCAGCTGCTAGCAGACATATGTCCCCCTCCAAAAGAACTTTTAGCCTTGATTGCACTTAATACTGTTAGGAAACTGAGCCATGAGGGTAGTAAAGAAAGAACAGAAAAACAATTTCAAATCAGATCACCTCTAATGGAGAGTTGCAGAGGGATGCCATGGTGACCTGAGAAGAGTCAGGAGACAGGAGACATGGCACAAAATGGCAGCTGAGGTACTGAGGCCTAAATAGGGTCATGGTTAGGGGCAGGGTCACAGAGCACTGGAGAGTTTAAAGAATCTTGCTAGTTCATGGTACAGGTCTGGCAGGTTTAGTATGCATTGTTCCAGTCCCTGCCCTGGCCTCTAGGAATTTGGGTGCATAATATCACCTGAGAGTGGGCTTAGGATTTCATTTCTATGAGTGTTTGGAAAGGCCTTCATCCATCAAGATGCCAAGATAGCCGGGTGCCTGTGGCTCACGCCTGTAATCCTAGCTACTCAGGAGGCTGAGATCTGAGGATCGCAGTTCAAATCCAGCCCAGGGAGCAAAGTCTGTGAGACTGTTACCTCCAATAAACCACTAGAAAACCAGAAGTGGTGCTGTGGCTCAAGCGGTAGAGCGCTCACCTTGAGCTGAAGAACGCAGGAACAACGCCCAGGCCCAGAGTTCAAGCCCCACGACTGACAAAAAAAAAAAAAAAAAGCCAAGATACCTCCAGATAGACCAGTATCCACATATCATGTTGATAATAATGAACGCCCTCCAACAGCTGGTATGTCATCCAGTCTTTGACTACGTACTTTGTTCACCCATCCCTCCCCTCTTAGTAATTCTTGTTGCCATCAAAACTCTGCATTTCTTTAGAACCAAGTTTTGTTTAGTTTATAATCTAATGCAAAAGTAGGTTATAACTGGTTTGGAGTGATTTAAAAATGAAAGAGAAAAGATTCTATCTAGTCCTTTTGACCATCTCCTGTGAGTCATTGGTTATTAGCATGTTATTTCTATTTTAGTCCATTTTGAATGTTCAGTTTCATTGACATCAGAGTCAATGTGATTAAATTGGATCCCTATCCTTACTTTAGATTCTGGATGTGTGGGATATGAAACACATGTGCAGCTCTAGTCATGTATTCCTTTTGTACCATGTTGTTCTATCTACTTTGTGGTCCACTCGCTTTGTTACAGTGATTTAGGTTTGCTTTACTTTTAACTCCTTGAGAAGTTGCTATTACTACTTTCTAAATACTTCTTATTTAAGTGGGCATAGCTAATTTCTCTTTTTAAAAAACATATGTACCATGTCCTTTAATATTTTAAACCTTTAGGTGGAAATGTTTTTATTAAGCACAACCATTAAAACCTCTAATATCTTTGCATAGTGATTCCTTCTTGTTTTATAGCATTGAGCAATTAATCTTAGAAACCTGATACTTGTTAGGAAGGTTCTATAGACATAATCACTTGAAAGGATTTATACCTACACACACACACACACACACACACACACACACACACACCAGTGTTTGTGTAATATACAGGAAACATTTCCACTTAACAGGAAGATATACTGCCAGAAGCCATGATGATGGACAATGTAAACTACTGGATTGGAGGTTAGGATTCTGGCTGTTATTTTGACTTTTCCCCTCTTTGTAGAAAAAAAAAAAGCTTAGCAGTTATGATTGTGATTTTTTTTAAAACTTTTTTATTTTAAATAATATCAGTTTTAGGAGAAAAACACTTGCAAAAATAGGGCAAAGGACTTGCATTAGGTTCTACACTTAGCTCTCCCAAATATTGACATCTTACTATGTTACCCGAGGTAAGCTTCTTAAGATCAGAAAATTAACAGTTTTATAATCCTATCAACTACGAAGTTCTGAGATCAGCTGCCTTCAGACAGATCTCTAACCAAACCCATATCTGCATTGAAGCCCTGAACTTGGAGAAAGAACCCTAAAAGTCTGACAGATATAGACTGGACCCGGACACCACATCAATGACAGCCTTGGTCCCACGGCCGGACAACCAGCCTGTGCTCTACAAATGCCACTGCACTGGTGCAGCAGGGAGCTGACTCCAGGGAAGATAGATGGTAGATGGAAAGACAAGCCTGCAGCTGCCAAATTCTCTGATTAAATTTGTCAACTGACACCTACTACACCTACTGTACCTACTGTACTTGTGGGAGTGTAAACTTGTTCAACCACTCTGCAAAGCAGTATGGATGCTCCTCAAAAGATTACACATAGCTGGGCATTGGTAGCTCATGCCTGTAATCTTAGCTACTCTGTAGGCTAAGATCTGAGGATCACAGTTCAAAGCCAGTCCAATAAACCACCAGAATACTGGAAGTGGCGCGGTGGCTCAAGTGGTAGAGCACTTGCCTTGAGCTGAAGAGCTCAGGGACAGTGCCCAGACCCAGAATTCAAGCCCCACAACTGACCAAAAAACATACAAACAAACAAAAGACTATACATAGAGCTCCCCTATCACTCAGCAATCCCACTTCTGGGCATTTACCAAAATGATCAAACAAGGCCATACTAAAGCTACCAGCACAACTATGTTTATCACAGCATTATTCACTATAGCTAAGCTGTGGAACCAATCCAGATGCTCCTCAGTAGATGAATGGGTCAAGAAAATGTGGTGTATGCATATATATATTTATATATATATATTTATTTATATATATGCATATATATATTTATATATATATATAAAATTTTATGCTTTCATCAGAAAGGATGACATTTCCCCATTTGTAAGGAAATGGAAAGACTTGGAAAAAAATAATAAGTGAAGTAAGCCAGACCCAAAGAAACATAAGTCCCATGGTTTCCCCTATTTGCAATAATTAGTATACGTCTAGGATAATCTTAGCAGATGAGCAGAATAGCTCAATATCTATGTATGTATGACCATAAAATATGACGGTAAGCAAAATGAACTCCAAGACATGGACACAAAAGGTTTTTCTTTGTTTTTGTTGTTTTTAGTGTACTATGTGATTTTTTGTTTCTTTTGTATGTTCTTCCCCCTATGGTATATCCCCTGTGGTCACTGTATTTGATTTTGGTATCCTGGTATTGTATGTATGTTTATTTGAATTAGGGAAGGGAAGGGGAACAACAGAATGGTGAGACAAAGACAAGGGGGAACCAATGCAACAGCAATACACACAAGACAATATGTTGGAAATGATCTGTACAACTTGGGGGT